ATACAAGACTGTTATTCTAAAAGTAAGATAGTTAAGGGGAGGGAGCACAAGGAAAGCCTAGAGACAAGGGATAGATAATGAAGACTAAAATGTATAAGGGCAATGAACGATCAACCTGAAATGAATTGGAAATCAGATACTGTGTATATTGCAATTAACAATCTGGGACAAGACATGCCTAAGTAATTAGGTGAAAGGGAAGAGAAGGATAGGGAGAAATATTAAAATAATTGTTTCAAGAATCTTCAACATTGATTGGCAAAACACAGTTCACAAAGGCAGTATTATACATCCTACTACTATACATCTTACTAAGTGTTGATTGAGATTTTAAAAGCTTGTGAGTGGACATCTATGATAAACTGTTGAACTCTCCTTATCTGTTACAATGGAAGCAAAGAAAGTCAAACATGTGTAGAAACAGTCTAAATGAATAATGCTTACTTTAATGGTCTTGAATGACTTCTGAGGTAAAAAAATACATGGTGCCCAGTTACATCTGTCAACCGTTTGGGGAAGATATAACAATAGGAGGACTGGGATAGAGTGGATAAAAAAGTGGAACAAAAATTTAACATAATAAAAGACAGAAAATAATTTGAAACACAAGTTTATGGTTTGAACAGAGACTAGAGAAACTTGGAAGATATTTGCTATTTAAACTAACAATGAGATCAAAAGAATAGCATTTCCCAGAGAAAAAGTAATGAAACTGTTAGACATATAATTGCTATTAATACTCTTTACACTGTGGAAATTGCATCATTGTCATGAAACAAAATGTGTTCATTAAATATGCAATATGAAATACTGAAGTTTTTTAAAAAACCTTTTACTTTGTAAAGTCTCATTCAAATCACAATTTAATGAAGAAGGAAAACTAGCATGCAGTTGGATGACAATTTAGCTTTATTTTTATCCTTTAAAAATTACATGTTCCACCTCATGGTAAGAAACTGTACTGCAATCCCAAATGCATGGGGTTCAAATCCATCAGTTACTTTGCAGGAGAAGAATGAACAGTCTCTTCCTTTGTGATTAACTGCCCCTGAACACCCATTGGAAGATCAATTATGGGTTGGTTGCTACTTCACAGGACACAATAACATGTAAGATCAGCCAGACAACGTTTTCCTTGGCTACATAACTTTTGTTTATTCTTGGTATCATGGAATGCATTGAACACTAAGACTGATATGATTAGTTAAGTCACAATTTTGCATAAACAATGTCTATGATTATGGATAACTTTGAGATAAATGGAAATTCCAGACCACTTAATTGTACTTACATGAAATTTATTCATTAATCAAGAAGCAGTTATTCAAATAGAATCAGGGAAGACTGTAGTAACCCTAAAGTTATGAAGAGTTGCATCAGAATTGCATCCTTTATCTATATCTGTTCATTCTGTACACTGAGAAAATAATTTGAGAAGCTAGATTATGTGAAGAAGAATGTTCATCAGGATTGGAGAAAGACTGATTAACAACTTGCATCATGTGGGTTGACATAAGGCTACAACTTTCAATATGCATTATATCTCAATATTAAGAAACCAAAAATTCTCTCCAACAACATGAAAGATGAAAAAAAAAGAATTATTGTCAATTTCTTTACCTTACTTAGATCCACAATCAACAGCCCTGCTAATAGTAGTCAAAATATCAAAAGACACTTTACAATGGGAAAATATATTGTCAAGAGCCTCTGCAAATGCTAGTGAACAACAATGTCAGTTTAAAAACTAAAATGTATTTTATCCAAGGTATGGTATTTTCAATGCATCTGAAAGTTGCATAATAAACAAGGATGATAGAAATGATGATTTCTAATTGTGGTTCTGGAGAAGAGTTCTGATTATTCCGTGGACTTCCAAAAGAATAAATAAGTCTGTCTTAGAGGAAATGAAATCAGAGGATTTTTTAAATGCAAGAATGGTGAACTGTTATCTCACCTACATTGGGCATGTTGTAATGAAGGATTATTTTTTAATTATTTTGGTGTATGTATAAATGACGTACTCATATATCATTTTTTAAAAATTATTATTCCTCTGCTTTTTCTTTCCTAACCTTCATTGTCTTTGTTAGGTGTCATTGCATCAAGTACCATTTATAGTGACCTACAGATACAATGGACCTGAACCCTGTTCTATTCTGTGTCATTTTCATCACCTCTGATACACTTGAGCCCATTGAGGCAGTCACTTTGTCAACCCATCTGGTTGAGAATCTTCCTCCCTATCTCTGACCCTCCACCTTTCCAAACATGATGTCTCTCTATAAGGGATAGCCTCTTCTAGCAACATCCCCAAATTATAGGAAACTAAGTTTTGTCATTTTTACCTCCAAGGAACACTATGACTGTACTTTATCCAAGAAATACCTGTTTGTTTTTTGACAGTATACGGTATATTTAATGGTCTACTCCAACACTGCAGACCAAAGATGTAAATTGTTTTTTTGCCATTTTACACATAGTCTAGATCTCAGATGCATAGCAAATAATGGAAAAGACCATTGCCTGAATCAGGTGCACCTTAGTCTTCAAACTGATCTTATTGCTCCTCAGTAATTTGGAGAGGTTGATGACAGAGCACTTGCCCAAAACAATGAATCTCCTGAGCCCCTGAATGCTTGTACCAAGGATTTTGATTTTTGTTGTGGAATGTTGGGAAGGAAAGGAGTGCTTCTGGCCAGGACAGGTCGCCTGATCTCCAGATAGGTGCAAGCCTCCTAAAGGCCTTTAATATGGGGTAGAGAAAGCTCCCCTGTGCTTGGCTGTACGAGCTTGAGAAAGCTCACCACCTGGGAAGACGGCTGCCGCAGTTTGTTGAGCTATGAGTGATCCACACAAGAGGCTGAGGTTCCCTCAACAAATCCACATGTCCCACATCTGTAAGCCCACCCTATCCTGCTTTCCTGTGTATATAAGTACAGTGCTTATCACAATGAAGTTAAGCTGGATTTTTACCCTCTGATCCTCTCCCGGAATGGTGTATCTCTGTCACACTTGCTCCCGGAATGGTGTATCTCTGTCACACTTGCTCCCATCAGAATGTAGCTGCAGGTTACCGGCGAACAGACAGCTACAAATTATGGAGCCAAGTAAGATGATATTGTTGACAATTTCACTCTTTTCTCCATCTTATCACAATGTTGTGTTCAGTCCTGGTCTGTCTTTTGCTTTACTTAAATGACAGTGGTATTAAGAATTTATTGTTCAAAATTACTTCCCTAGCCATTGCCTTTACATTGTCATGTGGAGGGCTGGGCGTATGCAAATAGGAAAATGCTAACCCATTCATAAGAGATTGACAAGTCTCGTCACTAAATTTAGGAGATTCAGCAGCAAATATTGAATTTTTACCAAAAGTGAAGAAGCAACAAAATGCCTATATATTTAAGACCTAGAGAGATTCTTGTGCTAGCCAGCCTTACAGGAAAACAGTAGCAACCAAAACAGAGAACCAGAGACCTGATGTGAGATGAATCTGACCTTGAAATTGCTACTCCATTGAAACACAGCTGAGTCCTTGCCCAAGTTTGAGGATGACTTGGGGTTGTGACGAGGTGGTGACCCATAATTGGTAGGTTTGAGAGTTCTGTAACACTGGTGTAAGCCATGAGGAACAAGTACGAGGTGGCTGTAAACACATTTCTAAAGCTCTAATGATTATGTATCTTAATACCAATCTGGATTACTGACTTTTGACTTCCTAATATAGTTTGTGGGATTGCTGTTGTTGTTGTTATGTGCCGTCGAGTCGTTTCTGACTCATAGCGACCCTATGC